AAAAAAGTCAGAATTCTGACTTTATATCTCGCAATTCTGACTTTATAACTCGCAATTCTGAGTTTATATCACGCAATTCTGAGAAAAAAAAGTCCGAATTCTGACTTTATATCTCGCAATTCTGACTTTATAACTCGCAATTGCGAGTTTATATCTCACAATTCTGTGAAAAAAAGTCAGAATTGTGAGATAAAAAGCCGCAATTAAATTTTTTTATTTTTTATTCAGTGGCGGAAACGGGCTTCCATACAAAGTTAATCTTTAAAAGCCTTAAAAATAATAACACTGTTAAATGCAATGTTCCACAAATCTATTATACATCTATAAATATTTGTTTTTCATACTGTATATTGTAATATTGTGATGCGTACATTTACTTAAGGCTTTTAAAACCATTCATTTTCTTTTTGTGTGTGTGTGTGTGTGTGTGTGTGTGTACTTAAATGAAATGGTATTTAGTATCGACCATTTATCAGTTTTAAATAATTATTGCCCACAATTTTAATATTGATGTATCACTAATTTGAAGTCCAAAAAACTATAGAGTAGTAGAGTAGTGTTTTCAACTATTTAATTATATTCATTATAATAAATAAATATATTTGGGGATAAACTTGAGGTTCTTGCACACTTTTTCAGTCCACATGTGACATGATTGCAAGTTATAAGTTCTTCCCAAAGAGTAAAAACTTCATAATTGGAATTTATTTGCTGCATATCCCAAAAAAAAAAAAATGCTATAAATAAGGGAAAAATAGTAAAAATAAAATAATAAAAGAAGATTGTGAGTAAGTGTGTAATCCTGTTTGAGTATATAAGTGTGTAATCCTGTTTTAGATTCACAGCAAATTGCATTGTTTTATAACATTTAGTTATATATGGAAAAATGAAAATGAAAACTTCAAGGTTTAAACTGAAATAATATTTTTTTCCCCCTTAATAACTATTATTTTTTATTGAAAACATTCTTGAATCATATAGAATCGCAAACTGAATCATGTTTAATGAAATATATCAGCATTCCCAGTTTCTGTTAATACATGTAAAAAAAATATGAAAAAAGCATCAGTCATAAATGCAGCAGAAATATCAAAGAAACTATCCAGTATGGTGGGCCTTCAAATGTCAAAAAGGTTGAGAATCAACGAATGAATGAACTCTTTTTTACATTTTTCTAGCTGTTTACTATA